AAACAGCTAATAAATTTAGCCTTGAATTTTCAAAATGATACTTATTTTGGGAGATTTTCTTTAAGCTAAAGCGACAGTTAAAATACATGAAGTGCCATATAAAATAAAATAAGAAAAAGCAAATAGGCTATTGCTTCTTATTTGGTGGTCAACCTTAAGTGCCCATTTGGACATAAAATTTGATGGAAGATTTTTCCGAAAAAATTTCACTTTTATTCGAAATAAGCGTTTGTTCATAAAATTTTCAATTTTCACTTGAAGATGCATTTTGGAAATTTTCGAAAATTTGAAAAACTACAAAAAGCTGTTTTTCAAAATTTTCACTTAAATCACTCACAAAATTTTAAAAACAACCCAAACTGAAATTTATGTCCAAACACAACTCTAAATTTCAAATACCATTTCACTTGAAAAAAAATTTCACAATTTTTTCTAATTTTACGATTCTTATGTCCAAACGCCTACTAAGTCTTGGTGGAATAGTGGGTTCTCCGACAACTAGGACGAAGTTTTTGGTATTTGAACCACATTAGAGAATGAACTTCAATTTTCTTTTTCAAAATTGGACCTCTTTGGTCAAACTATAAAAGAATAGTGGACCTGCTTTATACAAAAGAAAACAATGTTTTGATTGCAATAATCAATTACAGCTTTGGTAGTTACATTTATCATGGCGTAACTGTCTCAAGTTAGGCAATACACATATGTTACTCTAGCAGACCAAATGATAACATGATAACCAAAAATAAGCTTTCTTTTATCGTTTTTCATTTAACCTTATCAATCTCGATTAAGACACATATGTTACTCCCGCAGACCAAATCATAATAAGAAAAATAAAAAATATGCTCTTCCTTTTTCTCTTTTTTTTTTTAATCTAGAGTAACAGTCAAACCTTCATATAACAGCGTTATTTATTTCGATATTTGTGTGGTTGCTATAATGAAATGCTGTTAAAAGAACATATATATATATATAACCTAACATAAAAACTGATTCCAAAAAAAAAATTAGATCATTATAGTAAAGTACTACTTATTATAGAATATGACTGTTATAAAGAGGTGTGATTATATAGTAGTATTTCTTTTCTTTTTTTATTTAAACGCGAAAAAACAAAAGGCACATTTCTTTTGGTATAGTAAGAATGATTGGGATACTTAATATTAGTGCATGCTTCTGAAATAAAAAAATCCACAGGTAAGAAAAAAATCAAACAAAAAAAGAAAATAAAGAAAACTTTGGGTAGGGCCACGCACATTCCCCAGTATAATAGTCAACACTGTTTTCTGGCCCCTGGATTTACGGTGGAGTTAGGCCGAATTGTTGAGGTCATGGCTTTGGTTCCCTATGCATGGCCGACATCTTCTTCTAATTTTCTAGGAAACCATTAGAGCAACCACTGTTTGATTTTGTTCTACGTAAATGCTATTTTGTACAAAATAAAATATTTTTTGTAAATTAATATTATAACTACAATAATATAGTCAGTGCAATCTCACACGAGGGATATAAGGAATGCAGTGTGTACGTGGACCTTATTCTTACCTTGTATGAAACGGATAAAATGTTTCCGATAGACTTTCGGCTCGAAAAAAAAAAGCAATTTGGAGAAAAACAACAGTAGTAAAGTTTCCTTGTTGGAAATACTGGAGACAAAAAAATAATAACGACATCAAAATAATAAGATAGCTTTGTTCCCTCCCCAATTTCAACTTAATTTTAAGATTTGTCTATTATTTCAACTTCAACTTGATATATAAAAAATTTGAAAAATTATTTGAAAAGTATTTGGGAATATTTTCACTCACAATTTGTTTTAATCAGTTAAACTATATACTAATATAAATTATCGATTATTAATTTAAATCCATTTACTAAATATAAGAATAGAGAAAGAGACTGCTGACTGCATTTCGAACACTAAACTTATCCGTCCCCAACTCTTTCCATCGAGATATAATAACATGTTTGGCCAAGATGGAAAAATCAGCTTATTTAAAAAGTATTTTTTTTAAAGCGCTTTTCAAAAAAATAATTTTGGAGAAAAGTTGTTTGTGTTTGGCTAATTAATTTAAAACACTCTATTTGTGTTTGGCCAAGGTTTTCAAAAAGTGCTTTTACGTATCAAATTACGAATAAGAACGTGAAGATATTTACTTAATAGTTAGTGTTATATAAGTAGATAAATAATTACAAATATCTATTATTAAAGACAATAACTAAGTTTTTTTATTTTATTTAAGCAAAAAGTAAAAATAAAATTGAAAATTACTTTATTCTTGCAAGATGATTTAAATATGTTAAAAAGTCATTCAATAAATATGAAAGTTCATCCCAAAAATCATTATATAATATTTAATAGTTTAAACTAAGCAAAGTTAATTTGGTATATACAATATTTTGCTAAGGGCATTTTTGGAAGGAAGAAAATCCAAAGCTGCTTTTGCTTCTGCTTTTAGGGAGAAGCTAATTTTTCCTACTTCTCAAAAACTGTTTCTACTTCTACCCAAAAGTACT